GGGGCCACGAAATGTGGGAGGGGTGTGGCGACATGGGTGTGGGTGACGCATGCGGGTGGTGGCGCTGGCGCCTTCGGTGGAGCTCCCTATGGGGCCACGAAATGTGTGAGGGGGTGCCGAAATTGGGCGGCGCCGCCATGCGAACTGCGCCACTGGGGCCTTAGGTGGAGCTCTGTATGGGGCCACGAAACGTGTGAGAGGAGTGCCAAACTGAGGCGGCGCCGCCATGCGCAGTTTGCTACTGGGACCTTAGATGGAGCTCCCTATATGTGCCCACGAAACGTGGGAGGGGTGTGACGAAAGGGGGCGGCGCCGCCATGCGAACTGCGCCACTGGGGCCCGTAGGTGGACCTCCCTATGGGGCCACGAAACGTGTGAGAGGAGTGCCAAAATGGGGCGGCGCCGCCATGCGAACTGCACCACTGGGACCTTAGGTGGAGTTCCGTATGGGGCCACGAAACGTGTGAGGGGTGCGCCAAATTGAGGGTGACGAGAGGAGAAATGAGGGGGAAGGAGGAGGGAGAGGAGGAGGAGGGAGAGGAGGAGGAGTGAGACGCGGGGCGCTGTCTCTTCAAAACGAGGACCCAATACCACAGGATGGTTGGGAATAAGCAAAAATACCCCTCCTGGGGTGCCTTGACAGAGCCCCGAGGAGGGCCCCGGGGGCGCCGCTGGTGCCGCGGGTGCTCCGCTTGCGGAGGGCACCACGGCGCCGCCCGCCTGGCGGCCCGCCTGGTGCCCCCACCGCCGCTGCCGCGCGCCCCGCCGCGGGCCGCGCGGCGCCGCTGGCTGCCGCCTGGGCCGCTCCGCCGCACGCACGTCACTGGGGCACTTTGCGACCCTGCCGGGCCGGTTCGAAGTGATCTCCGGGGGCCCCAGCTCGATCCGATTCTCCTCCTCCTCCTCCTCCCCCTCCCTCCGCCTCCTCTCCCCCTCCTCCTCCTCCTCCTCCCCCCCTCTCCTCCCTCCTCCTCCTCCTCTCCTCCCCCCTCCTCCTCCTATCCTCCCCCTCCTCCTCCTCCTCCTCCTCCTCCTCCTCCTCCTCCTCTTCCTCTTCGTCCTCTTCAATTTGGTGCACCAGCGGCCGCGGGCACGCGTGGGCTGCGCTGCCGTCTCGGTTGTCTGGCCACCCGGAAAAAAAACTTTCGACCTCGCCCGATCCGGCGCGGGGCCGATTTGATGTGGCGGCCGACTTGGGGCCGTTGGTACCCCTGCCGCTTCTCGCGGCGCAGGCGCCCGCCCGCGCCGCCGCTGCCCAAGGCGGCCGCGGTGGCTGCCGCCGCCGCCGCCGGCGCCCGCGCCGCTGGCGACACGGCCTCGCTGGGACTTTCAGGCCGGGTTCGGCCACGCCCCCGTCAGGCCCCCGGGGGACCAGGACACAGACTTGGCAAGTCGTGGAAACGACACCGTTTCCTGCAAAGTCAGATTTGGTCGTCCAGTACATGTCGTGCAGCTTGTGTTTCGTGCCGCCGTCTGGAAAAATGATTTTGAGGGATACTGGATGTCCTGGTCTAGTGTGTCCGGAGCCTCATGCCTCATGCCCGTCCATCCGCTCCACGTCCCCGCGGGCGTCCCTGGACCGCGCGGGTGGTCTCGGGTGCGTGCCGATTCGCCAGCCGTGCGGCGTCTTCCACGCACCCTCAGCGCCCTACGCGCCCCTGCAACACCCCGCGAACAGCTTCGCTGCCGCACTGCCGCGCGTGGCAGCTGCCTGCTCTGGTCACGTGCCTGCCTTGCTTTCCCACATATGCTTTTACGTGTCCTCGGCGGGTGTCGCACGCATCCTCACTTTCTCTGCGTTTTTTTCTTGACTGCAGCGCGTATGTAGCCGACTCCTCCTTCCCCCGCACCTTGTGGTAGAGCCGACTGGGAACCCTAGATGCCGTAGCCTACACCCCGCGTCATTGGTTCACTCGACCTCCTCCCCGCGCGCTCTCTCGATCTTTGGCTCTGTTGGTGCACCTCCGTGAAGTCCCAGGCAGGGTCGTGTTCAGCGGTGTCGACCTTGCGCCATCGCGTTAACACCGCTCTTTCAGGGCTACACCTGTGTGCTCCTTCTACACCTACCAGGGCTTGTGGTCCATTCCTACCCCGCTCACTTGTACCAGCGCATCGGGCCCACTTCAGTGCACTGACCAAACGCATTCACCGCAGATTTCTGCCTACGCTGGTCCGCGGCATCTTCGCCTTCGTAAGAGCGCCTGTCCCAGGCCTGCCCTACGCTTGCCGGTGCGCGCTCCATTCGTCGTCCGAACCAGGGTCTCTGGCCCGCGCGCTCCTCGTCCGTCTTCCTCCTCCTCCTCCCCTCACGGCGTCTGGCCCACTGCTCGTCCGGTGCGTCTTCTTCCTCTGCCGAGCTGATGCCGGCCCCGGCAGCGCCCGCCTTCGTCGGCCGAGCGCCGCTGCCCTCGGCTCAGTTCTGTCTTTCTCGCTCCCTCGGTGCCGCTGCTCTCGGCTCAGTTCTGCCTCGCCAGTGGGTCGGAGGTGGACAGACCTCCTACCCTGACACGTCGATTAAGGAATTGGCCGTTTTCGGTTCGCGAGGGGGCGTCGCGGCCGTCATTTTTGCGGGTCCAGGTCCGTCGGTTTCGGTCCCAGGCCGTTTTCACTAAGGGGAGGTGTGCTGAAGGGAAGTTTGTCCACCGCCGAGTGGGGGCCCCTTCTCGAGTTCAACTTCGGCGGCGCGCCGAGATCGCCGAGCGCGTTCCACTACTCGCAAAGTGCCTGCTCGCAAACGTCCCCCAAACACGCGTCTGCTTTGATGTCACTTGTCGTAGATCCCGTGTGGCGGATCCAGGCCATTTGCGAGTAGCTGCTTTGCGAGCAGTGGAACGCGCTCGTCTACGAGAGGTGAAGTGAGAGGGGCAGGTCCTCGCAGAAGGCTGCGGGGCTCCGCAGAAGCCCTGTGGCCTTCTCCGAGAAGCCGTGTGTGGCCTCGGAGGAGGCCCGCGCGCGGCTCCCACGTGCGTGTGCATTCTCGCTTCTGCATGCGACTGCCACCATCCAGGTCATCCATCTGCTGCGCCATGTGGAGACCCACCTAGACGTGTCTCAGCTTAGCGCTTCGCGACGGTGCCATCACTTCGCCGCTGGAATAATAATACTATCAATGATATGAATAGTAGTATGAAAACAAGTTTGTGTGTGTTGTGTGGCGGGGTACGGTACGGGTCCGCCCCCGCCGCACACCCCCATCTGGCGTTTTACCGTGCTGCGCCCTAGTCGGGCAACACACCCACCTGCTAAGCGTTTCACGCGTTTTAACTTCCACCTCCTCTTGCACTGCACTGTATGATCGCTTCGGCTTCTTCCCCGCGTATCCGCTTCTACGGCTTTTCTGCATGTGACTGTTCCCGCCGCGTCCACTCATCGGCGCCGCCAGGTGGTACTTCGCCTACCCGTGGCCCAGTTTAGTGATTCGCGACGGTGTCGCCAGCTCGCTGCTGGAGAAAAACTGTGTTTGTGTGTGTGTGTGTGCGTGTGGCGCTCTCGTTTCTCCTTCGCGCCTCCGCTTTTCTTGCGCCGCGTGCCTTTTGCTGCCCAGCGGTCGTCCACAAAGGTGGAGCATTTTCTTTGCCAGCGGGTTCCGTTGCCGTGCTGTCCCAGTGACTGCGGCCCATCACCGCGTCGGAGGAACAAGGGTTTGTGTGTGTGTGTGTGTCTGTGTGTGTGTGTGTCTGTGTGTCTCCGTGGTGGCACAACATGCTCTAGCCGACGACGCAAAAGTGTGTGTGTGTGTGTGTGTGTGTGTGTGTGTGTCTGCCAGTCTGTCTTTCTGTGTGTGTGTGTGTGTATGCGCCGACCAGTTGAGCAGACGCGAACACATTCATACACATACATGCGTGTATACATACAATCACGTATCTGCGCGCGCGCGTGTGTGTGTGTGTGTGTGACCTCGACGTGTGCCAGGGCCAGGATGACTAGGCGGGCAACGTTGTCATATGTGGACATGTAAATGTGTATCGATGTAGAGAGAGGAGAGAGAGAGAGAGCGACAGAGAGATATGGGTATATATATACATATGTGTATACAGAGACATTTTGAGAAATGTATATATATATATATATAGAGAGTGATATAATGATAGAGAGAAGTAGAGACATATAAAGATACATAGAGATAAAGAGAAGGAGCAGCAGACAGAGAAAGATAACGCGAAAGAGAAAGGGAGAGGGATAATTAATCAATAATAGAGAGAGAGGCAGGGGGACACATGGTTCTTACGCACATCTAACGAGAAACAGAGAGAGAGAGAGAGAGAGAGAGAGTGAGAGAGAGAGAAACATATAACAAACAAACGAACTCTGTACACATGCCAGCAAGGAGGAAAACCGCAACGACGACGAGTCTCACGTGGAGAAGTGAGCAGGTCGAGGAGGGGAGACGGAGGGACCGATAATGTCTGGTTCTTCCTCGCTCTCCAAGTCCCCCATGCTCCTCCATCGTCGCTCCTCCCCTCTCCCCCCTTCCCCTTCTCCCCTCCTCCCCTTCCCTCGCTCTCTCCCCCTCCCTCGGGGTGCCAGCCGCTGCTCCTCCCTCCCCCCGCCACGGTCCCGGAGACTCCCAGCAGGGACCGACACCCCCAGCCGGGGCTTCCGAAGCGGCCGGAGGGTGTGTCCGCGAGGGAGGCCGTCGCCTCTCGCCCGCCGCCCGCCGCGTGACTCCATGGCAGCTCTGTCTCGAGCAGGTGCGGGGCACCCGCGGGCCCCAAGGCCCCTCGGGGTCCACAGCCCAGCGCACCCTGCAAGGCTGATCCCACGTGGAAGACAGTGGGATGTCGCGTCCGGCTAGTTAGTTCCAGCTGGTGCACAGCTCTCTGAACGCATGTGCCGCTGCCGGGGGAACGAGTGTCTGGGAAGCCTCCTGTCGGCAGCTGGAACATATACATTACCACTGGCGGGCTCTCTTTCAATCCCAGGACCTTTTGAGGGTCGGGGGCGACGTCGGAGTTGTGTGGTGTATACTTTTTCCCCATTCCCCCAGGGAAACAAAGAAACATGTATACACCAGGACCCCGTATACACCAGGATCCGCTTTCTCGTGAGAGTTTCCCTGCAGGGCCGGGAAAAAATGCGTTGGTGTATAGAGTTCGGTTCCCTATCTTGGGCTCGCCAGTCCGGGCGTCGCCTCTCCCGCTTTCCAGGGGCTGCTGCTGCTGCTGCTGCTGCTCTTGGGAGGAGTGCCTGGCATCGCTCGGACGTGTGCATTTTTCCTTCGGCGAGGACCATCGAGGAGCATCTTGGACCATTTGGCGAAAAAACCACGCACGAAACCAAACAAAAGCACAGGGAATGGACGTCCGAGCGATGGCCAGAGCGTGGGGCGCGTGGTGCCGGCTGTCTGGCATGGCCCCCCCACCTGGCCGCGCCATGCACAAGCGCCGCCAGGCGGACGACCCAGACGTCGTGGAGCTGGGTAGGGAGCCTGTCAGGCACCGGGCGGTAGGAGCGGGGAGGAGGAGGAGGAGGAGGAGGAGGAGGAGGAGGAGGAGGAGGAGGAGGAGGAGGTGGAGGTGGAGGAGGAGGAGGAGGAGGAGGAGGAGGAGGAGAGGGAGTACCATATAACAACCAAGATAGACCAATGATGTTGCAATACTCTCTCCCATCCCAACTCCTGTACTCATGACCCCCCGCAAGCTTTTTTCACTGCAAGAAGCGCCCCTTTGAAATATACGCGCACAGTGTGGGCCTGCCATTCAGGCCAGAGCCCCGTTTGAAATGAAACGGATGTGCATCCTTCCAGCGAGTACTTCGGAATGCGAGTCCAAGTAGTGTTCAGGGATATCCCCGCTAAGAGAAACGCCTCACGGGTGGAACTCTTACACAAGTTTGCACTTGGCCATTAACATTAGGGAAGCATCAAGCGAGGACCCGATTTCGGAAAAGAGGTCCCCTCAATCTGTGAAGCTGCTACATATTCAAAGTTTCGGGAGTCTCCATCGAAACCAGAAAACCACATTTGAAAACTACATGCCTTCATTTTTGAATCGGTTGCAGACTTTCAAGACGAATGTGTGCGGCGGTATGGCAAGAGCCTCATCTTGAACACCACCACCCTCTATCCTTGAATCTGTCGCAAACTTTACAGAGGAATGTGCGCGGCGCTTAGGCAAGAGCCCCGTTGTAAAAAGGATTCCCCCCTCTGTCCTTGAAGCTGCTGCAATCTTTGAAAATGAATGTGCGCGATGTTCAGGCGAGAGCCCCATTTTGAAAACCACCCCCTCCCATCCTTGTGTCTGTTGCGACTTTGAAGCTTCGGGAAATCTCAGGTAAAACGCCCAGCCAATCCTACCAACACGTCTGGGGGTTCGACAGTGAGGAGTTGCTTGTAAGGAAAAATGATGGAAGGATGCTTGAGGGGAGGCCCAGGAGGATGGGAAGGACGGAGAAGAGGGTTGATGATAAGGATGGCGATGGTGGTGGAAATGGCTATGAGGGTAATGCTGATGATGATGGTGATCAGGATGATGCTGATGATCCGCTGCTACTGATGGTGATGCTGCTGCTGCTGATGATGATGATAATAACGGTGATGCTGGTGATGATGCTGCTGCTGCTGATGTTTATGACTATGAGGATGGTGGTGAGGATGACGATGCTGATGCTGATGATGATGCCGATGCTGATGCTGCTGATGATGATGACGGTTGTAATGACGAATATGATGATGTTGATGATATTGATGATGATATTGTTGTTGATGAAGCTAGTGATTACGGTGATGATGCTGCTGATGATGATGATGTTGGTGATGATGGTGGTGGTGATGATGATTGTGCTGTTGCTGATGATGTTGATGATGATGATGCTGCTGCTGATGGCGATGGTTAAGGTGATGATGATGCTGATGTGATGCTGCTGCTGAATTGGATGATCATGCAGATGATGATGATGATGATGATGATGATGATGATGATGATGATGATGATGATGATGATGATGATGATGATGATGATGATGATGATGATGGTGGTTGTGGTGGCGATGATGACGATGACGATGACGATGATGATCATGATGATGATAACGGTAATGATGATGATTGTGGTGGTGGTGGTGCTGATGATGATGATGATGGTGATGGTGATGATGATGGTGATTTTGATGATTATGATGATGTTGATTCTGATTCTGATTATGTTGATGATGATGTTGACGATGCTGATGTTGATGTTGATGAAGATGATGAAGATGATGCTGATGCTGATGATGATGGTGATGCTGATGATGCTGATGATGATGACGACGATGACGACGACGACGATAACGATGATGGTGATCATGATGGTGATAATGATGCTGCGGCAGCTGTTGATGATGATCACCCTCAGGCACCAGGTTGTATGGGTATGATCGAAGGAGGAGGAGGAGGAGGAGAATGAGGAGGTTGATGACGAGAAGTAGGAGGAGGATGTGGAGGAGGAGGAGGAGGAGGAGGAGGAGGAGGAGGAGAGGAGGAGGAGGAGGAGGAGGAGGAGGAGGAGGAGGAGGAGGAGGAGGAGCAGGAGTTTCCTTCTACGGGGTCCTGGGCCCCATGTTATGCGATGTGCGCTTCTTTGTATTGCCAAGTCAAAGGTCTTTTGCCTTCGTCCTGTTCTCTATGGTCCGGCTGGGCGAAGCCTTGGACAACCGCCAGGCTTAGGTAATTGTGCCATGCTCGTCATCTTGCCGCCGGTGCAGATACTCGTTGGGAGGCCGGGCAGGCGTGAGGTGCAGATGTGGACCACGCATTCAAGGTGTGCAGCTCGCCAGCAGATGCCACAGGCAGGGTCTCCAGTGTTGCTGCAAAGGAATATTCGGTTGAACTCCAAAAAACCAGGGGGCGGCGCGCACTGGCTGGTGTGCATAATTTTCGGGCAGATCGCTTGGGTATTATTTGCGACGAGCTGGACTACTTTGCGGTGCCGTGGTCACACTTTCGCTGAGATGTGTGGGCCCGCCATTGGCGGAGTGATGTCTACAGCAGCGGTTGCTGTCCACCTCGGCGCTGAATAACTTCCCTCTTATGGCGCAGATGCTGATCTGATGCGGCGGTTGCGAGCCGATGGTTTCGAGCTTTCGGACGCCATGCACAAGCTGCACATCAGTTGGAGATCATAGGGCGACGCGCTCTCTGTATCTTTCCCGCGCGATCTGTTCACGAAGTGTACAATTTTGCATCCAACACTGTTTCCATGATAAGGCTCAGTCTCAGCTTCTCCTCGCACGCTGCCGACCTGACGGTACTCGAGTGGACGGATCTGCAGATTCACCTGGCTGGACGCTGGCTTGTGCTTTGCATGAAGGGCCCCAGTAGTGACCAGCTAGCTCTACAGGGCGACGGGCAGCAAGCCCAGAATAATTACCGTGATCCGATGACCAGGCGCGCTCGTGGCGCCGCTCGCAATGAGGGTCGGCACCATGCCGTGCAATACTGCGCGGGGCCTGCAGCTACAGCCTTCCTGAAGACCAAACTGACGGATCGCCTCAGTAGCCTCCCCCTCTCCCCTGTCTGAAGTTGGCTCTCGACGGAGCCGCTGCCGCACCAGGGCAGGGGTGGGCGGTGGGGGGGGGCTCGCGCCGTTGCGAGAAGGCAACCCCATGCTGGACTCGGGCACGTCCCTCCACAGGAGGAATATTCAAAAATAGTCAAAAACTAGTACGGGGACGATTTTTTTAATTATTATTGGACTATTTTCGAGCATGTTTTGACTATCTGTATATTTTTCGTCCAAAATCCGCCTGTAGGGGAGCATGCCCGACCTAAGCCCATGCCCAGCCAGGCAGTCCCATGAAGACTCCGATGCGACCCCGAAGCGTTCCCTGAAACCAACGGCCACTTTTCGTCGAATTTTTCCTGCAGGAGTGTGGCAACCCTTCGGGCTGACATGATTGCCCTGTTGCTGCTGGAGCACGTCCTGGGGCTGCAGATGTCCGGGTATGCCGCCCACCACCTGTGGGCGCTCGTGCACGCCATGCCTCCCGCAGACTCAGCCATCCTGGTGAGAGGGATCGTCCGAGAATGGTTCTGGTTGCGCCGGGACATTGCGCTTTGATCGGTGGGGTTTGCTTGCTGCCGCTGATGCTGCTTCCCCCCTGCCACTTGTCTCTTTCCCTTCCCCTCCCTATCCCCAAACTCTTCCTCAGCACATCGCGCGGAACAGAGTGGTATCGCTCAAGCCGGCACGTGGTTCGCGCACGTGCTCTAGCGAGCTACGTCGGCTCCCTGCGGGCGATGTCTTGGCAGCGTCATGAAAGCAGCGCTCTCAGTCGCCAGCGCTGCTGCTGCTTTTCCTCCTCCCCCTCGACACAGGACAAGCACTGCAGACGAAGGAGGAGGAGGAGGAGGAGGACGAGGAGGAGGAGGATGATGATGATGATGGTGATGATGATGATGATGATGATGATGATGATGAGGAGGAGGAGGAGGAGGAGGAGGAGGAGGAGGAGGAGTGCAGGCTGCGTAGGGGAGACGGCCAAAGGCTGTGCAAGAAGTGCTTCCGGGAGAAGCCGCCGCGGGCGCACCACTGCAGGCTCCCGCCTTTCCTCTCCTCCGAGATCGATTCGCGTGCCTTGGGCCGGTGAGGTTGTCTGGGCTGCTGACGTGCCACCCCCGTCGGCCACGAGGGGACCCTGGCGTTCCTGCGGGCATCCCCGCCAACTCCCGCTCCCTCTTCGCGCGGTCGAGCTGGTGGCGGTGTTGGCAGTGAGGGCTGACGTCAGGTCCCGTCCCGAGCTGGCCTTCGCTGAGGGAGGGAGGGGGAGCACATCCTCTTACTAGGTAGTGCTGAAAGACACTGCCCCCCCCCCCCCTCTCTGTTCGTGTATAGGCGCCGGCCGAAATATCAGTTGACTCAAGAAGCTTACGCGATTTCGCCGACCCGCCCCCCCCCCCCCGAAAGGTGGGTGGGCGCTTGTAATTTTTGACACTTCCCATATCGCTAGCAGCGCAGCCCATCCAGAACATAGGCCATGGCGAACAATCGGCAGAAGGGAAGATGTAAACATACAGTAAAACAGAAAGCCAGCAATGCTGAACTCAGAAACCTCTGTGAGCCTCTTGTAGGCCCCTGGGCGCCATCTTGGAGGTCTCTGGGGGCTGGAGCCTTTGAGGTTTTCTTTGAGATCTTCTTTGGCCCTCTGGAGTCCATGGGGGCCTTCTCGGAGTTGTTTCTTGGGGCCGTGGGGGCCTTCATGGAGTCATCTAGGAGGCCATCTATCCAACAGGACGGAGGGGCGGGTCCTAATTTAGGGTCCCCCGCTTGGAGCCCGAACATTTGCCTTTTTGTGGATCTCTTGGAACGTTTTTGGTGCGCTCTTGGGGGCGTTCGGAGCCGTCTCGGAGCGCATCTGGGCCTCTCGTGGGCGTTCTTAGGCAAGTTCTGAGCCATTCGAGGCGTTGTAAGTCCATCGGGAGCGACACGGCGAGAACGTACTACACATTGAACAGCTTTATGTTTTTTGGTGATTCACTTTTCATGCTCCGTGTCCACTTTGGCGACGTCCTGGTGCCGTCTTGGAGCTTCTTGACCGCACGGTGGAGGCCACCCTGAGCCGCCTTGCGCTGTCCGGGAGGCCGCCTCTGGCTCGCTGGAGTCCTCTCCGGCTCTGGTGAGCTCAGAGGGCCCCCCCCTTTGCATGCTTGTTTTTTGATTCTGATTCTTCAGAAGGGGGTCCGCTAATCATCTCGTACTCCTTCTGGCTGGCAAGCGGGAGTCGGCGGGTGTCCACCATATTGGGGACGCTGTGATCGGCCTTTCGGAGGCACGCGCCGATGTCGGCCAGGTCTGCGGCCGCGGCGAGGGCCCGACACCATCGCATTCCCTATGCTCACCGCGCAGAGTGCCGCCGACTTTGAATGCTTAGCCACGCACACACACACAGATGTTTGTGTGTATGTGTGTATACATGCATGTGCGTATGTATGTATGCATGCGTGCATGCATGCGCGTGTGTCGGTATACATGTACGTACGTATGCATGTCTGTATATCTACATGTATTTACACAGGTATTTATTTACATCTATATTTATATGTGTATGCACGTATGTGTGCATGCATGTGTGCGTGCATGTATGTATGTATGTATGTATGTATGTATGTATGTATGCATGCATGCATGCATGCATGTATGTATGTATGTATGTAATGTATGTATGTATGTATGTATGTATGTATGTATGTATGTATGTATGTATGTATGTATGTATGTATGTATGTATGTATGTATGTATGTATGTATGTGTGCATGTATGTGTGCATGCATGTATGTATGTCTGTGTGTATGCATGTACGCATGCATGTATGCATGTATGTATGTATGTATGTATGCATGCATGCATGCATGTACGTATATATGTATGTATGCATGCATGCACGTATGTATGTATGCATGCATGTATGCATGCATGCATGCATGCATGTATGTATGTATGTATGTATGTATGTATGTATGTATGTATGTCTGTATGTATGTATGTATGTATGTATGTATGTATGTGTAACTGTAAGTATACGTCAGTATGTATATAAATATGTAAGTATGTATTCGTGAATGCATGCATGTTTGGTTGTTTGTATGGTTGTCTGCTTGTATGCTTGAATGTACGCGCGTCTATATGCCACGAAGGGATCGGCTCGATTCGGTTCGGTCCAGTTCTGCAGCCGGTTCGGTTTTACTTGGCTGGTCGGGCAGTTCGGCTTGGGTCTGCCGCCAGTCCGGTTCGGTTCCGGTTTTCGCGCGGTTCGGTCGGACCGCTTCGGTTCGGTTCGATTGGCCGGTCCGGTTCGGTTCGGCCCGAATATTGGTCGGATGCGATCGCGTTGGGCGCCCCGCGCGCGTAAGCGACGACCCAGTTTCGGACCGGGGGGGTCCGGACCCGGGGGGGTCCGGACCGGCCGGGGGGGGTCCAGACGGGGGGGGTCTGGACCGGGGAGGGGTCTGGACTGGGGGGGTCGGGGCCGGTCCGGACCGGGAGGGGTCCGGACCGGGGGGGTCCAGACCGAGGGGGTCGGGACCGCGGGGGTCCCGACCGGGGGGGCGCGGGCTGGGGGGTCCCGGTCCGGTTCGGTTTTATTTCGGTTCGGGTTCGGATCTCGTCAGTTCGGTTCGGGGGCCGCCCTGGTCCGGTTCGGTTCCAGTTCTGGTTCGGTTCGGTTCCCACCTTTTCGGTTCTGAATGAATTCGGTTCGGTCCAGTTCGGTTTTTGATTTTCCTTGTTTATGGCCGGGTCGGTCCGGTTCGGTCACGGTTCTCGGTTCTCGGTTCGGTTTGGCTCCTTCATGATATGCTTGTATGTATGCATGCATGTACGTACGTGCGCATGCCTGCAAGCATGTTTGCATGTATGTCATGCGTGTGTGTAGGTATACATTTCCGTATGCATGTATACATGCACGCAGGCATGTATGTATGTCCGTGTGTATGTATATATCTATGTTTGCATGGATGCATGCATGCATACATGTATGTATATATGTATATATACACATATATATATGCATGTTTGTACGTACGCATGCCTGCATGCATGCGGGGATTTATGTAGTTATGCACGTATGTATCCATGCATGTATGTAAGTTTGTTAGTATATGTATGTATGTATTTATGCATGCCTGTGTGGGTGCTTGTGTGTATGTGTGCATGTATGCCTATATATGTATATGTATGCGTGTATGCAGGTGTGCATGCATACACGTATGAATGTATGTATGTTTGTACAGTTGTATGTATGCATGTATGCACATATGCTTGCATGCATGTATGCATGCATGCATGCATGCAAGTATGTATTTATGTATATAGGCATGTATGTGTGCATGCATGTATGTCTGTCTGCATGTATGCTTGTATGCAGGTGCGCACGCAACGAAACCTATACATACACATACGCACATACATACACACATACGCACGCACACACACATATCTATAGGTGTATGTGAATACATACATGACTATTTATACACGCACACCTGTATGTATGTATGTATGTATGTGTGTATATGTATGCATGTATGCACGCATGCATATATGCTGCACACACATACCTACACACATACCAACACACTTACAAACATACCGGCAATCATACATACATGCATACAAACATACATACATGCATGCATACATCCATACACATATACCCACTTACATATTTACAGACAGACGTACAGCTATGCATACACATGTTGTTTCCCCCTCGCTCTCTCTTTTTGCCCCCCCCTCTCTCTCTCTCTCTCTCTCTCTCCTTATATATACACACGCACATGCCGAATGGCTTTTGGCCCATCCCGCCACCGTGCCTGGGCTGTGGGTCACAGGCCTCTAGGATGTATGTTGGGATGTCGCGGGAGGCCTCTCGGGAACCTCTTGGGGCCCGTTTTGAAGCCTCTAGAGGGCCATTCTGGGGCTTCTTGGGCCGTCTTCGGGGTCTCTTGGGGGCCTCTTGGAGGCCTTTTGGGGCCTTCTTGGGGCCTCCTGGGGGCCTCGCGGACTTTCGGTTCGTGCTGCCCCTCTTGGACCCTTCTCGGGGCTGTCTTTGGGCCCTCTTGGACCGTCTTGGGCCTCTCTAGGGCCGTCTTGGGGCCCTCTTATCGGCGGCGAGCGAGGGGGGGAAGTGAGATGGAGAAGGCCTTCTCAGAAGGCTCGCAAGTCCGCAGGCCTTCTGAGAAGATTCCCGAGTCTTCCCCGACACAGAGCAAATTTCAGAAGGCGCGAGGGCTTCGCAGAAGTCCTGCCGTCTTCTGAGACGTCCTTCTCCTTCTCACTTCCCCCCCTCACTCGCCGCCGATCTTGGGCCGTGCTGTGGCCCTCCTGGGGGCCTCTTGGGTCGTGGGCCGTCTTGGAGCGTCGGGAGCTCGAAAAGGCGAGGAACCTTTGAATCATTGAAGAACTCATCAACACCAATGATTTTGGCCTCTCGGGGCCCTCCTGGGAAGGCTCTTCGGGCTCTCTTGGGGCGTCTCGGAGGCCTCTTGGACCGTTTTGGGGCCATCTTGGGCGCCTTGGTGCGATCTTGGGGCGTCTCGGGGCCCTCTTGGACCGTCTTGGGGGCCTCTCGAGGCCCTCTTGGCCCGTCTGGGGGCCCTCTTGGCCCAAGTCATGCGGGGAGGTGCGCTGGAGCTCATGGGAACCGCGACAAGCCCCGAGAGATTTGGCAATATGGGGTCCAGGCCCTTCAAAGACCCTTTAGGATCGAGGACTGAGGCTCAGGGGATTGGGCAGAGGACCTGACGACACCCCCACTCCGTGTCCAGCGGCACGGTGGCGGATATACACATGCAGATGTATAAGCATGTGCATGCATACATTTGTCTTTACACATTTGTTCTGTCCATGTTTCATGTTTGCACGCTGGCGTAACCTAAGAGGTCGTCATTTCCTTCCGTGGTATGGTACGAGAGCGTCTCTGAATCACCTTAGCCTGCCGCGTCGATACATCTCTTGTCGCATGTCAGCTTGACCAGCATGCCGCTTGCAGTTCCCTGTCAGCAAAGCAGGTTGAGGGTTGCGTGTGCTGATGGGAGTGCTGTTGTAGTCATGAAACATGGGTGGGGCTCAAGAGGTGGCGAGGAAGCCACTGCGATAGACAGATGCGGTGGTTACTTTGTGCGCATCACGCCCTTTGATTCTGTCGTGCTTCAATGCCGGGACAAATATACATTTTCTTCCAGTGTCTGCAAGCGCTGTGTGCTGAAGATGGACCACCACTGCCCGTGGATCAACAACTGTGTTGGATATCGCAACTATAGGTGCGCCTTTGTCTTTTTCGTGGTTCTGCAAGTCTGACGGTATCTTCGAATCCACGACTTGTTTCACCGACCCTCCTGCTCGTTCTGTTGTAGACAGACAGACAGAAGCTGCGCCCAGACGGCGCATTTGCAATGACAATTGTGGCAGGTGACGGCGTGGGGGCACATGCACATTATATTCAAATAGTTGATATCGCTGCTGGCGGCTCGTTTCTACACCGTTGGAAGACGTGTTTTTGCCACGCAGCGCAGAATGATATCGCGCGCGTGTTTTGCACTTTCTTGATTTTTGGAAGAGGCGTGCCCCTACACTCGATTTACATGGGCGCGCCAAGGCCGTTCTTGCGGGAGCACATTGTGATGGTTGTGAGCATTCGGAGTGAAAGTACCAACGGGTCTGCCTTTTTATGTAAGTGATTTCGTGAACTGCTTCGTTTCCCTCCAGTTTGGCACCTCCAGAGCTCTCGCTGGATTTCTGTGGGCGCTGCGATCTGTTGCCGGTACTCTTTCGGGGTCCCTCCTCACCCGCCCTGGACCTCCTCTCCTCTTCTCGCTTGTCCTTCCTCCCCCTTTCCTGTTCCTCCTTGCCCTTCCTCTCCCCATCCTGTTCCCTCTCTTTTCTTTCCTCCTCCTGCCCAGAGGTCTCCAGAGGTCCCCAGACGTTTCTCGAGCCCTGCAGAGGTCCCCAGAGGCCTCCGGAGGTCCGGGAGGACCGAGGATCGAGGGTGGAGATGTTAGGGCGTTCCTGGCACCTCACGAAGCCTCAGGAGATCTCTTGTGGCCCCTGGGACCTCCAGAGACCTCTGGGGGCCTCCAGTGACCTCTGAAGACCTGCCCTCTGGGGACCTCTAGAGACCTTCGGGGGGAGGTGGCGGTCCCGAGCGAATTTTGCGAGCTCGCTTTTGACTCTAGGCTGGACGGCGCCTGCCAGTGCTGCAGGAAGATCACGAGGGTGACCTTTGCGGGGCCTGTGCGATGAACGGCTTTTTCGCTCTCCCCAGGAAGGAGAAGGACGATGTGGGATCCATATGGTGCAAGAGGCCTCAACAACCAAGCCGAAGATCATCTGCAGTGCCCCAGTGGAGGTTGTGCTGCCAGGGTTCGTGAAGGAGATCGGCCCTGGGGCTTTCTGGGGCTGCTGCTTCCTCCAGCGGCTGACGGTCACATACTCGGAGGCGGGCATCGGCCGCTCTCCACGGATGCAGCAGGCTGGCGGAGGCGGCAATCCAGGGCCAGAGCTAGCTCGGATGGCGGCTTGGTGGTCAAGATCCCAGGCGTGAGGGATGAGCGGAGCTGGAGAAGCCCTGCGCCCGCGAGGATTACACGCCAGAGCGTCTTGTCCACGCGTGTGCTGTCGGAATCGCTGGCGGACGGGCTCGCTTTCCTCAGGCGCGCTCGCCTCTACCGCTTTGAGCGTGCGGCCTTTCACTGGCTTTTTCTTTCCACGGGCTGGTGCTCGAAGGCGTTGAGCACGCGCTCTTGCTGTCGTTGCGCGGCGGAATCTCCAGAAGCTTGCCTTCTCGGCCCTCTTCGCATTCCTCGGCGTCGCTGAGGGTATCTCCACACAGCGCAAAATGCACGCCGAGGCCGAAAAAGGCACGTCGCCGAGCACAGAGTATCGCTTGCTGGCCTGATAGGGCTTGCCAACAGAATCAGCGCGCCATTGGGGATTTTGCAAGCCTGCTGCTCCTGCCACTGCTGCCGTTTCCTTTCTCTTTCGCTCCTCCTCTCCCCTCCTCTTCTCACTTCTCCATTCGCTTCGTTTGTCCCCTTCACTTCCCTCCCCCTTCCCCTCCCCTCTCCCCTCCTCCATCTCCCCACCTCCTCCTGCTCCTCCCCCCCCTCTCTTTTCTTCTCTTCTTTTCTTTTCTTTCCTTTCCTTTCCTCTTCTCTCCTCTCCTCTCCTCTCGTGACTCTCCTCTCCTCTCCTCTCCTCTCCTCTCCTCTCCCTCTCATCCTCTCCCTCTCCTCTCCTCTCTCTCCTCTCCTCTCCTCTCCTCTCCCTCTCCTCTCCTCTCCTCTCCTCTCCTCTCCTCTCCTCTCCTCTCCTCTCTCTCTCCTCTCCTCTCCTCTCCTCTCCTCTCCTCTCCTCTCCTCTCCTCTCCTCTCCTCTCCTCTCCTCTCCTCTCTCCTCTCCTCCTCTCCTCTCCTCTCCTCTCCTCTCCTCTCCTCTCCTCTCCTCTCCTCTCCTCTCCTCTCCTCTCCTCTCCTCTCCTCTCTCTCCTCGTCCCCCGAAGCCGTTTTGGCTCAATACCACATCTGCCTGTGGCAGAGCACGGAAACCGCTGATTCGCGGCAGATCTCGACCTCTGTCTGCAGAGTTTAAAACATGTAATTCGCCGCAGAAATAGGAAGCAGAAGACGAGGAGGAGGAGGAGGGGGAGGAGGAGGAGGAGGAGGAGGAGGAGGAGGAGGAGGAGGAGGAGGAGGAGGAGGAGGAGGAGGAGGAGGAGGAGGACCACCAACATGAAGGGATAGGTCCAGCGGGGGCGCCCATGCCACGACGTCCCCCCCTCAGATTATCAGAGGAGTGGGGAGAGGAGGCAACCTCGAGGGAAGAGGACAAGGAGGAGGATGGGGCGGAGGAAGACGGGGAGGAGGATGTGGAGGACGAGCACGTCAGACGACGAGGGGCAGGCCGAGGCGAAGAGGACGGGATGCAGTGCCGCGCCGGCGGCATTTCGCGCGCACGGCGGGGTCGGCAGGGCCCCTTGGATTGGCCTGCGCCCCATCGCCTGCCGGGGAGGTATTTCTGCTTGTTTATGCTGTACTTGGCCGGCTGCTGCCTGTTCCTGGCCTGCGTGTTCCTCGATGCCTTCCTGGACACGGCCTTTCACCCCAGGAGCCCCTCCCCGCGCCGCCCCGCGGGCAGAGGCGAGCCGCGGACGGCTCACGACGGGCGCCCGGCGGCACCACCGAGAGAGGGTGATTGCAGCTGGGGTTCGAGGTCTTCCGCCCCCTCCCCCTCCCTCTCCCTCTTTCTGTCCCTCTTCCTCCCTCTCCCTCTCCCTCTCCCTCTTTCGGTAGCAAGTCGTGGGAGCCTGGTCTACCCTCCTCATTCCGTCTGTAGCGTCGACTGGCGACGACCGGCGTCCTGGAGTCGATGGGATGGCGTCGATGTAGCGTCGGTCAGCGCCGACTCGCGTCGATCTAGCGTCGATGGGCGTCGATTTCGCGTCGACCAGCGTCGATTCGCAAGAGCCGACATGATGGCCTGGGAGGCTCCCCCGAGCTGCCACCGAACGTCCCCGCCGCCCTGCGCTCGGCGGAGACGCTAACGCTCGGCGCTCGGCGGCACACGGGGGAGAGGGTGAGCGCAGCGGGGTGCTTCGAGGTCTTCCGCCTTCTCCCTCTCCTTCTCCCTCTACCTCTCTCTCTCTGCCTCTCTTCCTCTCTCCCTCTCGCCCTCTTTCCCTCTCTCCCTCTCGCCCTCTCTCCCTCTCTCGCTCTCCCTCTCTCTCCCTCTCTCTCTCTGTCTTCTTAGCTCCTGTACCCTCTCCCTCCCTCCCTCTCTCCCTCTTCCTCTCTCCCTCTCTCCCTCTCCCTCTCTCCCTCTCCGCCTCTCCCTCTCTCCCTCTCCGTCTCTCCCTCTCTCTCTCTCTCTCTTCTTAGCTCCTGCGCCCCATCTTGGGGTGATCTCTCTGCCGCTGCCAGCCTAGGAGGAGGTGGGAGAGGAGGGGGGGGGAGGTGAACCTCCTGGCAATGCGCGCCCCCACGGGGACCGAGGTTCGGGCGGGCCTAGGACGGGATAAGTCGTCCCAGAGCCTTCCAGAGCGCTCCGTAACGGCCGCGGCGCCCGAACGATCTTCCAGAACCTCCGCACCTCAGAGATCTCCGATTTTTACCCCGGTACGATTTTTCGTCTCGGCCCTGGCCTGGTCCTTCGCGGCACGCCATGCTGCAACGTGGCCTGCCCTGGCCACAACACGTTCGGGCACCGCAGGCTTGTATGCGGCGTGGGCGCGCCTGTGGCGCTGGCGAAAAGGAGCTCAATGCTGAGTTCTGCGACGCGGAAGCACCGAGGGACACGGCAGCGCCACTGGACCCGACCGAACTCATTGATTTTTCCTTCTTGATGTTGGGCAGATGTTGGCCTCTTGGGATGTCATGGGGAGCCTCCAAAGCCATGTGGGCCCGTCTAGGAGCGGTCTTGGGACCTCTCGGAGTATGTTGGAAGCCATTTTGGACGATCTTACGGAAACTTAAGCTGTCTTGGAGGCCAACCTTGAACGAATCGGAGCTGGGATCGGTTCAAGTCTGAACAGTCGGCGCGGTGTCAAAAAGCCTGTGCGCACGCCGACGCCGCACGCACCTATAGTGCACCGGCGTGCACCGGAGGGCAGCCACGCGCAGAGGGGGGGGTATGGGAGAGGGGGGAAGGCTGCTCAGAAGCACCCCTACTTTCAAGTCGGGCGTGTCCCCCTACAGGGGGATTCTCGATCTCGACGAAAAATAAGAACTACTACCCCAAAAATACTCCAAACTGGTCAAAGACATGCTCAAAAAATAGTCCGCAGATTAGTTTTGGACTGCTTCTGAGTCTCCCCCCTGCAGAGGGGCAGGGCCCGACTTCAGGGTATGGGGAAGGGGGGGAAGGCTTCGTAGAAGCACCCCTGCTTCTTAGAGAGTGCCGGGGGCCTTGCCTGCAGGTGTGGAGCCGGCGCCTGCCAAGAAGCAGCCTCCCTCCTGAGAAGCCTCCCCCCCCTCCCCCTGCCCTTAGGTCGGGCCTGTCCCTCTACAGGGGGATATTCAAAAGTAGTCAAAAAATAGCCTGGGAATTATGTTGGAGCATTTTTTGACCATTTTGGAGTATTTTTTTGGGGTATTTTTTATTTTTCGTCGAAAGTCCCCCTCTAGGGGGACACGCCCGACTGACAACTCTACCCCCTGGTGCGCGCCGCCAAAGAGAGAGTCCAGTGTGACGGGTCGGAGGCTTAGGCCGCCGTGAAGGCCACGGGTCCTCTGGGAGACGGGTTTCTCCGGGTTTTCGCCGTCGTCGGGATCCCCGGGCCCTGCGCGGGCCCGGGCCCTGCGCGGGCCCGGGGGCCGTCCAGGAACCTGCCCAGGAACACACCCATACCCATAGGGAGGTCGGAGGGAGAAGGATTGGCTATGGGTATGGGTGCGGGTCGTCGGACCCCTGGGGAGGCTCCCATTCGAGCGAGGACCCCCCTCCGACAACACGCACCCATAGCTCATTCCGTCCCCCCTATGGGTATGGGTGCGTGTTGATCGTTCGTCAGAGGGCTCGCTTCCCCCGCAGAGGATCCGTCTCTTTCATGCGGAGGGTCGGCCAGAGGAGGGGCAGACACCCGGGGTCGGACCGCTCCGTGCGCGGGGCCAAAGGCGACCCAAGAGCTAGCGACACCGCCCCAGCTACGGCCCCCCCATGCTGCGCTACGGCCCATCGGGGGCCGCCGCGTTTACCACGCAAAAGTCCGAGCCAGATTTCCTGGTATACGCTCGGCCCGGTGGGGCGATTCTCTGTTGCAGTCTTGCCCGAATCAAACCTTCTACCAACAGCAGCACCAAGAAACTCCAGCAACAGCACCAACAACAGCACCAACAACAGCACCATCTGGCTATACCTGAAACTCCAGCACCAAGAACTGAACCTACGGCTAAACCTGCTACCACTAAATCAGCACCAGCTAAGGCTGCCCATCGGCGGCCGTAGCGCATACCACGCCGAAACCCAAGACAGATGTCCTGGTATACGCTCAGCCCCGTGGGGCCGTAGGTGGGCTGGTGTCGTTTCTCGGCATCGCTCGGACGTGCGATTTGTTTTTCGGCGGCGAGGACCATCGAGGAGCATCTTGGGCCATCTTGCGAAACATACGCGCGCGAAATCACAGGCAATGCTCGGAGACTAGACGTCCGAGCAATGGCGAGGTTTGTTTGCTGTTCCACAATCCCTCGGACGTGTGCATTTTTTCCCCGGCGGGGACCATCGAGGAGCATCTTGTGCCATCCTGCGAAAACTACGCGCGCGAAATCACAGGCAATGCTCGGAGACTGGACGTCCGAGCGATGGCGAGGTTTGTTTGCTGTTCCACAATCCCTCGGACGTGTGCATTTGTTCCCCGGCGGGGACCATCGAGGAGCATCTTGTGCCATCCTGCGGAAATTACGCGCGCGAAATCGAGGTCAATGCTCGGAGACTGGACGTCCGAGCGATGGCGAGGTGTGTTTGCTGTTCCACAAGCTCGGACGTGTGCATTTTTTCCCCGGCGGGGACCATCGAGGAGCATCTTGGGCCATCCTGCGAAAACTACGCGCGCGAAATCTAAGTCAATGCTCGGAGACTGGACGTCCGAGCGATGGCGAGGTGTGTTTGCTGTTCCACAATCCCTCGGACGTGTGTATTTTTTCCCCGGCGGGGACCATCGAGGAGCATCTTGGGCCATCCTGCGGAAACATACGCGCGCGAAATCGAGGTCAATGCTTGGAGACTGGACGTCCGAGCGATGGCGAGGTGTGTTTGCTGTTCCACAAGCTCGGACGTGTGCATTTTTTCCCCGGCGGGGACCATCGAGGAGCATCTTGTGCCATCCTGCGGAAACTACGCGCGCGAAATCGATGTCAATGCTCGGAGACTGGACGTCCGAGCGATGACGAGGTGTGTTTGCTGCTCCACAATCCCTCGGACGTGTGCATTTTTTCCCCGGCGGGGGCCATCGAGGAGCATCTTGTGCCATGCTGCGAAAACTACGCGCGCGAAATCGAAGTCAATGCTCGGAGACTGGACGTCCGAGCGATGGCGAGGTGTGTTTGCTGTTCCACAAGCCTTCGGACATGTGCATTTTTTCCCCGGCGGGGACCATCGAGGAGCATCTTGGGCCATCCTGCGAAAACTATGCGCGCGAAATCGATGTCAATGCTCGGAGACTGGACGTCCGAGCGATGGCGAGGTGTGTTTGCTGTTCCACAATCCCTCGGACGTGTGCATTTTTTCCCCGGCGGGGACCATCGAGGAGCATCTTGGGCCATCCTGCGAAAACTACACGCGCGAAATCGAAGTCAATGCTCGGAGACTGGACGTCCGAGCGATGGCGAGGTGTGTTTGCTGTTCCACAAGCCTTCGGACGTGTGCATTTTTTCCCCGGCGGGGGCCATCGAGGAGCATCTTGTGCCATCCTGCGGAAACTACGCGCGCGAAATCGATGTCAATGCTCGGAGACTATGGCGAGGTGTGTTTGCTATTTCACATTCCCTCGGACGTGTGCATTTTTTCCCCGGCGGGGACCATCGAGGAGCATCTTGGGCCATCCTGCGGAAACTACGCGCGCGAAATCTAAGTCAATGCCCGGAGACTGGACGTCCGAGCGATAAACGGACAGCCCCAGGACTCTCAGGAGGGCGCCAGGACGGCTGAAGGACCTGAGGAGACCCCAAGAGGCCCCCAAGACGACCCCAACAAGCCTCAAGACCTCACCACCCATCCAGGAAGCCCCCAGAAGCGCCCAAGAGGGCCCCAGGACTACCCCACGACTCCATGACTGTTGGAAGTGCCTCGACAACGCCTCACAACTACAAACGGACAGCCCCGATACTTCCTAGCTCGTAAGGCAATTTCCTGACCTCACCTTAGGAGGTCTCCAGCAAGCCCCCAGAAGAGCCCAACAGGGCTTCAGGACAGCCCTAAGAGGGCCCCACGACGGCTGGAGGCGCCTCGACAAAGCGGCACAGCGTCAAACGGACAACACGGGAACCAGCAGAATGCGTCCTATAGGCATCCTCTACTTCGTTTTTCTCTGTCTCGCAATTCACGCCTACTTGTCCTCCAAGGTCGGGGTTCGTGACAATATCAGGTTCCCCGGCGGGGACCATCGAGGAGCATCTTG